ACTTACCAATGGTATCTGGGCCAGCCTCTGGCTTTTGCCTGTGTACCTGCATAGCTCTTTTCCAGGTGGGTTTTTGGCTGGGGCCAGGGCCCACACTGCTGGTATCTGGGTGGGGCCCTGGCTGAGATCTGGGTACCCACACCTCTCTGGTCCATGTGGGCTTCATGCTGGGATCTGTGCTCACTTACTGATGGTATCTTTGTGAGCCTGTGGCTGTTGCCTGTGCACCTGTGCAGCTGTTTTCCAAGTAGGCTTCTGGCTAGGGCCTGGGACCTAACCATTGGTGTCTGGGCATGGCCCTGGCTGGGACCTGTGCACCTTTGCCTCTCTGGTCCACAGGAGCTTATAGCTCCTGTAAGCTTTCTGCTTTACTACTCACCCTGCCTTGTGTATTCATTCATGTGGGCTCTATTGTCTCTTTGTAGGATATTCTTGGGAATGTTTTGGAATGTTAGTTTACTAGTCATAAATTTCTTAAAGTGCTCTTCATCATGGAAATAACTTATTTCCCCATCAGTTTTGAAAGGTAGCTTTTCTGGGAATATTAATCTGATTTGGAGGTTGTTTGTTTTAGGATTTGACACACTCCAAGCTCTCCTGGCTTTTGAGGTATGTGTCAAGAAGTCTACTGTATTTCTAATGGGTTTACCTTTGTAAGTGATTCATTGCATTTCTTTCATGGCTTTTAAGATTTGTTCAACATGTTGGACTTTGGGGATTTTCACTGTAGATATGTCATGCAGAAATTCCTTTTTGATCATGACAATTTGGGCTTCTATATGCCTCACTTGTCTGTATATTTAATTCTTTCCCCATATTTTAAATATTTTTCTGCTGTTATTTCTGTAAACAGGTTTTTTATGCCATTTGTTCTGCCTTCTGGTTTTTCACTAATTCCATTTAATCTTAGATTAGTCTCCTTTGTCTTATCTAGCAGTTATTGGATTCATTTTTATGTTCTCTTATTGATTTCAAGGTATTTCTGAATAATTTGTCACTGACATCAGCCCTGTCTTCTAATTCAAACACTGTATTCACATTGGTGACTTTCTTTAGAATTTTTAGTCTCCTGCATTTGTTTGGTACCATTTCTTGGCCTCAAATTCTTTGAAAAACTGGTCAGTTATATTTGATATAATTTTGTTTAGCTTAGCTAACTTTTTGTTAGTCTTCTGTAAACTCATTGATCATTTTGTTTTTTAAGTCCATTATCTGTCTAGTTACATCTTCTTTGTGCTTGCCAAGCACCTTCTTGATTTTTTTTAATCTCCTATGTTAGCATTTTGATTAAATGAACTGTGTAGCTTTTGAATCCTCTCAAAATGAATGCCTCAGGGACCTGCTTTGTGAATGTTTGATGTGTTAGAGTGATTTTGTTGCCTTGTTTTCTCATGTTTTTATTGTTGCTGTGTTTTTTGTTTGTTTTGTGCTGAGGTTTGCAGGGAACTCTAGTCAAAAGACTTTGTTGATAGTATGAAGATTTCTTTAGCTAATGCCTACTTTTCAGGAATGCCCCCACTGGTTTGTGACTAGCTATAGGCCTTTGACTCTGTCCTGAGATCCAAACAACTCTGTTAATTTTGAAGAGGAACATTCAGTGTAATGGAGCTAGCACCCAGTTCTCTGGGAATGGACCACAGTATTGTTACTGGCACAAAGGCAATTCAGATATTGCTATACAGTAAAAAATCTACTAATAGCAACAACTGTCCCACTCTGGCAATAAAAACTAAATCAGCAACAATAATAATGTCAAAGCCAAACTTGATATTGACATACCATAAGAACCAATAATGTACTCTTTTACTATAGAAAAGAGATACATACTGATTATATAAACACTTAGGCACAACAAATATTGACATACAGTAAATATCTACTAAGTGCAACAAATATTTCTCTATTAACAATCAATAGTAATAGCATAGAATTAACTAAAGATTAATAAAACTTAATGGTTATTCTAGTAAAGATAGAGGGGACAGAGAATGAGGGACTGAAAGAAAAACTTGAAAATTGAAGCAACAGAAGATGAGAAGGAGAAAATATTCATAAAGAATCCTAATATCCTAATAAGAAGTAAAAAAGTGATCAAATTAGGTAACAATAATAGACAAAAACAAAGAAAAATAAAAATAAGAAAAAGAGAAAAAACAATCAAATAATGGAAATGAGAAAAAAAATCAATGGAGAAAAATAAAAGAAATGAATCCCAAAAAGAATTGTTTTCTTCTGTATATTTCAATGAATGGCTTCTTTCCAGAACCCACAGTTTTGAAATCCTGCAAGTTACAGTTTTCATTTCCTAACTTTATGGTATATAGTTTTGCTCCAGAAGTCCATCTCTCCATTCCCCTCCCCCAGCTATGGCAACAGTTCAAGCAAGACATATCCTTTCTCATGTTGATAGATGTGGAAAACAGTCCAACTTCTGATCTGTCCTGCATGTAGGTATCAAGGCAAGAGTTCAAGCAGACAGCTGTATTTAATACTAGCACTTTCAGACCCAGCAACTTCTGAAAGCCCCATGCCAAGCCTAGCTTCTCTCCACGGAGTCGGGCCCTGGGTCATCCCCTGGTCTAAGCTTTAAATTCTCAGGGGAGGGGTCTACGTCTAGCCCACTCCCTGTCCACAACTATCTTCATGGCTGTCTCTTATCGATTTACTGTAAGATGGGAACACTTGGCACCCCAAGGCAAAGCAGTTTTTTTGTGGCTCACCCTTAAACAATCAACCCCTCCCTAAAACAGCACCTGATTAAACACTCTGGGATTATGGTGGGCACCGTGCTGGATTCCTTCTAGAACTGTAGCTGCAATGTGAAAGGAGTCACTTGCAGAATAAAACCCCAGGCTGTTTTTGCAATTTATAATAGCCGTAGGCTTTTCTTGGGTCTTGTGCTGCTGGCATGGTCCACTGTTTCTCCCTGGAGCTCCTCACCCTGGGGGCTTACATTGTGATGGTAGAGATATATTCCTCTTCCCAGGAGCCAGGGGAAACTTCCAGATTTCTTTATTGTCTTCTCTTTTAGTCCACTTTGCCAACTTCTGTGTAGCTTCTAATTTCCATTCAATTCCCTCCCAATTCCCCAAGATCTGTTTCTTTTATTCTCCTAGCCAAGGAGAATATTAATATTTATTACTATCCAGATGTCTGCATTCCAGGTCTCAGAGAGTCCATTTTGTGACTGATTGCTACTCTGCCACTTTGGTCTCTGATTTCTTGATGACAGCCATTCTATCTGGAGTAAGATGGAAACTCAGTGTTGTTTTAATTTGCATTTCTCTGCAGAAATGTTGAACATTTTTTCACGTATTCATTGCCCATTTGTACTTCAGGAAGGGTTAAATTTTAAAGTGGTCAACATAAGTCTCTCTGAGAAAGTAACATTTCACCAGAAACATGATGGAGGGAAAGGGACAAGCCATATGTTTAGCTGAGGGAAAAACACTCCAGGCACAGGTATGGCAACTACAGAAGCCCTGAGCTTATTACGCAAACATTTGCTCTCTGAATTCTAGTTTTACTCAAACAATTCTACTTTCACTAATCATTTTGAAGCTAAATTTACAGTATTTTATAATTTAGAAAGCAACCCTAATACCAATAATACTGATAAAAAATTGTAAGGCATTTTTTTTAACATTTGCATGTTGGCATATATCTTGTGCTCATTGAGTACATTTAATACATTATTTTCTTTTTATAATAACTATTACTTTATAACTTTTCTAAGAACTATTAGGGTCTATCATAGAGTTAAATTTAGTCTTACAATCAAGAAAATAAGATGCCATAATGTGCATATCCACAGGAGTTTTGCAGCATTGATAAAGTTGTTGGATGTCTATAGTTCTTACAGTACTGAATTGGAGCTGCAGGAATTTCTAGATAATATTATTACTTTAGTTTATGAATACCAAACTTTAGTAAGCCTTAAAAAGCTTTAAGTTATGTTTAATTGCATCTTAAATTTAAGCTATGGAAGTTAGTGTTATTTGCTCATAAAAATCAAAGGACTTGCATTCCCCGATCAGTTTGCAGCTTAACAAGAGCTTTACCCATTATTGCACTGTACTCAGTACTTAAGAATCACTGTAAGATTTGATAGGAGAAACATTAAGGACATGGAATCTAGGTGACTGAATATCCAAGAAGAGTGAAAGGGTTAAGGTTAATGTCTAGTTTTCTGGTTCAAGTGATTGGGTGGAATTCTTAGTTTTAAAACTGTGCTCTATGTTTGTTTACTTTTGCTCCCTCCAACTGATCTCCTTACTCTGGTCTAGATCATTGGCTGGTGCTACTCCCTGTCCTGCCTGAAAGGCTCTCCTTTCTGTTACTTAAATGCTACTCATTATTCACTGCTTAGCTAAACCCCTCGTTTTCTTCTTAAAAGGTTTTTTTAATAGACCCTTTCTGACACTGACCCATATAAAACAGTGACAGTCAACGCTCAGGATTCACTCTTACTGTTTTCTCTTACCTGTTTTCAACTGAAATCTTTTATTATGCCTCATGGTGTGGATGAACCTTGTCTTGTGTGTTTGAGGACAAATATGGGACCTAGCTGCTACTGTGCCTGACCTTACTGGAATTACATATCCATAAATGAAAATAACAATAAAGGAACCAGTAGTCATCTCTGAATTCTCCTATTCCACAATGGTACCTATAATGAATAACCAAGGAAACAGCCTATATATCTTCATTTAATTGGCCAAGTTATCCTCTGGATAGGAAGACATCAGTCTTCCTTTGGTAGGGAGAACATTTTCAATTTTTATTTCTGGCAGTGGTGACAGGTTGCACTGAACTGTCTCCTCTTTCAACCAATAGCACATATTTATAAATTGTTTACAAAGCTGAGTTTCATAGCCAGTTTGGAAACCTAGATTCTCCCAAGTCAGAAGCACTTGTTAAGATCAAACCAGTAACTCAACCTTATTAGCACGAGACTGAGACATTAAAATTTCAATAATGTGTGATTTTTCTCCAACAAGTATGAACTGTGAGATAGCAATTGATGCTGCATTCCTACCCATGTATTGCTCAGAAGATATCCAGACATCTCAAAATAACATGTTGTTGAACTGCATGAATTATGGCTATGTATATTCAGTAGCAGTAACTGGCAATGACCAATTGCCAGGCCCTAGAGCACTTGCAAGGCAATTTCAATGCTTTTTTCACTCAGAAAGAAAAATATCATAAACAATCTTGGCCTTTTCTCTTTCATAGTATACTATTACATAAACAGTTCTAGCCTTAAAATTTAATGTAGTTTAATTTCACATTTATTTAGTATATGTACCCCAAAACTTATCAGTAAGAATCTCTCTTTTAAGTGACATGAACAGCAGGCATTTTTAGACATTCTGAAATGTAATTCTTGCATCAGACCAAATAGTATGCACATAAAGCAACAGAATTCTTCATGTGGCTCCTTTTAACTCAGGGGAGAAAGTTTGTCTTTTTACTTTGTAATTGCCTGAAATCACAATTCCTCCATACTACAACGCAGTAAAATTGTTTTTCCTTATAAATGTTTAGTTATTCAAGTGCTATGCAATAAATTCCTTGAGGACTGCTAAGAGTGTATGTAATCCTCATAGAAAATTCTTCAAGCAATTAACTGTTTAAACTACTTTATAATATAACAAAATTTACCTTTTTTTTGGTACCAGGGATTGAACTCAGGACCTCACACTTGCCAGGCAGGTGCTGTGCTGCTGAGCTACATCCCCAGCCCTATAACAAACTTTACATTATTTCTATATACCTATGAATTATCTGTCCAGTGATAATTATCCTATTCATTTTCTGTTGTTTGCATTTTCTAAGCATGTAGTAAGGTTTACATCAGTTTTCAATGAGTTTATCAAGATAATACATTTAAAGGGGCATCTAAGAAAGCCTTTATTTTCTTGGTATTTTTAGTAGATCTTTCTAAACTGATGAAACACTGGAGTGTATTTTGTTTTTTGTTTTGTTTTTTAACAAAACTTATGAGCTTTGCTTCTTGATGAAGTAACTTTTGACAGTAATGTTATGCAAACTAAATTTGAACATGAATTATATGAGAGGAGGTTCTTTATTTTTCCATCTTTCATCTTAGAAATGATATATTAGTTGACTTTAACATTATTTCCTATATTGCATCTCCTTGGCCTTTCATCAATTCCAAAATTCTACTAGTGTCTGACATGTCATTTAAATATTTGTGCATTAATGTTCTTATTTTATGTAATAACCACTTCTATCACATGTCTTCTGTTATATGAATATGCTGTTGTTGATATAAAATATTAAGTGAGAGTTCTTGCCTATCTATTTGTTGCTAGTGCCAATATTTTTCCATTAGTCACTAGCATGGTAACATAAAATGTACCTAGCTCCAGTCTCCTAAAGTAGTTAGTATTTGGACTTGAAGAACAAGAATCACTGAGGAATAAAAGTAAAGTAAAAATCATAAAGAAAAATGGTTCATTTTGAGTGAAATATCATGTTTTTCATGTATAGCATTAATAAAATAGTGTCCATTTTCTCTTTACAATTGTTCCTGAGCATTTTACATGTCTCAGTTAATTCTATTTTGTTGTTGTTGTTATTGTTCATTGAGTTTATTGGTACATTTTAAGTATACAGTACAGTTACATTCATTATTGGGATCTTGTACCTTTACATGACAGGTCTTGGTTCTCATTTTTTCCCCTTGTCCCTGCCCTTCCTTCATGCCTTCCTCCCCTCCCCATTTACAAACACTTTATTTCCATTTTTTTCATTTTCTCATATTTCCCTTATTAACTTTGCCCTACCTTTCCCACTTTCCCTACACCTTTAGCCCTTTTCTTCCCATTTCACAATGTCAGTTATCTCATTAGTCTTTCCATTTTCTTATATCCTCTTCGATCTCTTTTTTAAGAGTGCTGTAGTTTTCAGTGTAGATGTCTTTTGCTTCTTTTGTTAGATTGATTCCTAGATACTTCATTTTTTTTGGATGCTATTATGAAAGAAATTGTTTCCCTAAGTTCTCTCTCAGTGAGTCTGTTAATTGTGTACAAGAAGGTTATTGATTTTTTGGTGTTGACCTTGTATCGTGCTACTTTGCTATAAGTGTCAGTTAAATCTAGAAGTCTTTTGGTGGAGTTTTTTTGGGTCTTCAATGTAGAGTATCATATCATCAGCAAATAATAACAGTTTAACTTCTTCCTTTCCTATCTTCATTGCTTTAATTTGTTTCTCTTGTCTAATTGCTATGGCTAATGTTTCCAGAACTACATAAAATAGGAGTGGTGATAGTGGGCATCCTTGTCTCATTCCTGATTTTAACATAAAGGTTTTCAGTTTGTGGCCATTTAATCTGATGTTGGCTATTGGTTTTTCATAGAGAGCCTTTATTAAATTGAGATATAGACCATCTATTCCAGTTTTTTGCAGGGCTTTTATCATGAATGGGTGTTGAATTTTGGCAAATGTTTTTCTGCATCTATGGAGAGGATCGGGTGGTTTTTGTCCTTGACTTTGTTAATATAGTGTATTACATTTATTGACTTACGCATATTGAACCAACCTTGTGTCCCTAGAATAAATCCAACTTGGGCAGGATGTATGATCTTCTTGACGATCCTCTATATTCTATTTGCTAGTATCTTATTAAGGATTTTTGCATCTATATTCATTAAGGAGATGGGCCTGTAGTTCTCTTTTTTAGTTCCATCTTTCTCTGGTTTGGGCATCAAAGTGATACTTGCTTCCTGGTATGAATTTGGAAGTATTGCTTCCCTTTCAATTTCATCGAAAAGTTTGAAGAGCAATAGCAGTAGTCCTTCTCTAAATATCTTGTAAAATTCAGCAGTGAATCCATCAGGACCTGGGCTTTTCTTTGTTGGTAAATTTTTAATTACATTTTCAATTTCACTGATTGTAATTGGGGTTTAAAATGTTTTTATCTTCTTCGCTCAACTTTGGTGATTCATAAGTATCTAGAAATCTATCTATTTCTTCTGTGTTTTCCATTTTATTAGAGTACAGGTTCACAAAATAGGTATTAATGATCCTCTGTATTTCTTTTGGATCTGTTGTGACTTCTCCTTTTTCATTCCTGATTGCATGGATCTGAGCCTTTTCTTTCCTTTTTTTGATAAGGTTAGCTAAGGATTTATCGATTTTATTTATTCTTTCAAAAAACCAACTCTTCGATTCATTTATTTTTTGTATCATTTTCTTAGGTTCCATTGCATTGATTTCTGCTCAGATCTTTATAATTTCCTCTCTTGTTTGAGTTTTGGGTTTTTCTTGCTCTTGTTTTTCTAGAAGTCTAACATTCATCATTAGGTTGTTTATTTGAGCTTGCTCTGTTTTCCTAGTGTGGGCATTCAGTGCTATGAATTTTCCACGTAGAACTGCTTTCATTGTTTCCCATAGATTCTTGTAAGTTGTATTGGCATTTTCATTTATTTGTAAAAACTGCCTAATTTCTTCATTAATTTCCTCTGCGACCCATTGATTGTTCAGGAGAGTATTGTTCAATATCCACATGTTTGTGAAGTTTCTACTGTTTCTTATGCTATTGATCTTCAGCTTGATTGAGCCATGATCTGATGATATACAGGGGATAACTTCGATTCTTTTGCATTTTTTCAAACCTATTCTATGAGCTAGTATTTGGTCTGTCTTGGAGAATGACCCATGTGCAGCTGAAAAGAATGTATATTCTGATTTTGTGGAGTGGAACACTCTATAGAAGTCTAATAAGTCCATGTGTTCAAAAGCTTGGTTCAGTTCTAGTATTTCATTGTTGATTTTTTGCCTAGATGATCTGTCTATTTGTGTTAGTGTGGTACTTAGATCCCCCACAGCAATTGTATTAGTGCTTATTTGGCTTTTCTGTTACTTAATATTTGTTTTATATAGTTGGGAGCATTAATATTTGGTGCATATATGTTTATGATTGTCATCTCTTCCTCTTGAATTGTTCCCTTTATAAGGATGTAGTGGCCTTCTTTGTCACTCTTAATCAGTTTTGGTTTGAAATTTACTTTGGCTGTGAATAAGATTGCTACCCCTGCTTTTTCTGGGCTGCTGTCACATGGAGAATTTTTTTCACCCTTTCACTTACAGTCTATGGGCTTCTTTTTGCACTAGGTGTGTTTATTGTATACCACATATTGTTGGATTTTGCTTCTTAATCCATTCTGCCAGTCTATTTCCCTTGATAGGTGAATTGAGGCCGTTGACATTGATGGTTATAATTGATATGTACTGACTTCTTACTGCATATTATTGTCCTTTTGTTGACTCTTTTTAATTTTTCGCCTTCTCCTTTTGGTTTCTTGCCTTGCCTATTTTATTTGCTCCGTTGGGCCTCATGGTGTCATGATCTTCATTGTCTTTTTCTAGGATACTGTTTAGAATTCCTTGTAGTGCTGGCTTGGTATTCATGAAGTTTCTCAGGTGTTCTTTGTCATGGAAGTATCTTATTTCCCCATCCATTTTTTATTGAGTTTATTGGTACATTGTAGGTGTGCAGTACAGTTACATGCTTTACTGGGATCATGTGCAAAAGAGAGTTTTGCAGGATACATCAGTCTGTGTTGGAGGTTGTTTTCTTTTAGGACATGAAATACCTCACTCCAGGCTCTCCTTGACCTGAGGGTTTGTGTTGAAAAGTCTGCTCTGATTCTGATGGGTTTTCCCTTGAATGTAATTTGTTCCTTTTCTCTTACTGCTTGTAGTATTTTGTTCTTCTGTTGGGTTTCTGGGATCTTGATTATTATATGTCTAGGTGTAGATTTTTTTATCATGGCTAGTTGGAGTCCTATATGCCTTACTGATCTGTATGTCAAATTCTCCTCTGTTTGGGAAGTTTTCTGTCATTAATTCTGTGAACAGCTTTTTAAAGTCATTTGTATTTTCTCCTCCTACTTCATGGATTCCTATCAGTCTTATGTTATTCTTCTTTGCATCATCTAGGAGTTGTTGGATAGATTTCTCATGATCCCTTACTGTTTTTAAGAGACCTCTCTTTTCATGTCTGTGATCCTATCTTCTATATCTGAGATTCTATCTTCTCATTCTTTTATTCTGTTGCATACACTTTAAATAGAGTTTTTAATCTCCAGCATTTCTGTTTGAATCTGTTTAATGGATTCCATTTCTTTCCTATAT